GTAAAGCTACAAAGTCCATTGTGGGCTTAAATTATAATATGAATGATCCATAATTGGAAAAATATTATTGCAAATTTCTGTCAAAAAATACGGCAAAAATAGGTGGTTTTACACGTCGTTCAAAATTATTTCCTAATTTACATTAATTTTTTAATAAAAAATAAATAGAAATGACAATGTTTCTTATAGGATTGGAGAACTATAACTCAAAAGGAATCGAACGAGATGTCGATGAGCATTGTGTAATATTTTACGAGAAACTTATGGCAATTTGTAATTAAGCTTTTTTTATGTAAACAATATCATAGCTTATTCAATATTCAAAATTTCGAAAAATAAAAAAATTACACTTACTTCTATGACAAGAACGCAATGTTTGAACTTATTTGAGTATAATTATCTTTTTTAATGCAAATGAAAAAAATTATTTAATAACATGTTATTTTTGATGGTTTTTTGGAATTAACTTATTATCTTATTTACCGATTTTAACAAGCGATCTCTCATTCGATATGTATTTTTAGTAGAAAAAAAGGGTTTGAATTATTGTTATCTAAATTCACAACCGGTTGAGATATTTAAACAAACTTCCACACCTCTGCGATCGTGGATAAATTGACATTCTGTTGAGCATTAACATTGGAACCAATTTCAATATATAGTACGTACAAATTTGCCCCTGCTTTTCCTACTTGTAACGGTCCTATCTATGAGCTCTTCTCTTATTTTCACTGAATTACTACGATCCGCTAAACTATCTACTTGCATCAATTAGTATATTAAACCGTGCCACCTATTATATGATTGTATTAGAACTTATTATCACATATTATATGATTGTATTAGAACTAGAGTCAAATTTCATGATCATATAAGGAGCGTGACGTCACTCTACTTATAGATATAGATATAATAGTTTTTATTTTTCAATTAAAGTGCGTTAATTAAGAGTAATTTCTATGCAACAAAGCATTTTTTATATAGATTTTAGGGCATATATTAACATTATAATATTTTCAAGAACTTTTGACTATTGAATAGTATTAAATTTTAATGTGCAAACTTAATTTGTTTATAACTTTGTAACTGTTTATTATTATAATAAAGCGGATACTCTGAACTCAAGATGACTATCTGACAAACATGAGTAAGAATTCATTTCATTGATAACAACTTAATTATTATTGTTATCAATAAATAAATAATTAATAATTTATTTAAACAAATAATTGTATATGAATCGAAAGCGTTAATTTTTTACATAAAAATGACATCTGTATAATTTATTAATTTTAATCAACTGATTTATTATTTGCATTATAAGATTTTACAAAAAAACTTTTGCAAATACGAAAATTGATTATAAATCAAATGTTATGAACTAATTTAAGTAGTTCTTTATTGGAATTACTTCTACTAGCGATAAACTATTAATATATGTAAAATTTTATCATTATTTTATTGTAAATATTGCGCTATTATATTAACTAACTTTATTAGTTAATAACTTTTGACTATACTTTTTGCGATAAGTGTTAATTATACTAAAATAATCCTTATCTACTTCTGTAAGTTTTACATGTTTTAGAATTTTGCTATTGCTGTTTATTCTCTTGTAAACAAGAAAAATTGATTTCGCACACTTACGTAAACAGCTCGAAGACAGCTCGTAATAGCTGTTCTGGAAAAATAGGCGATAAAAAAAAAATGTGTATAAATACGCTGATTTTGCACAGGTTAGCATTCTTTCTTAGCCTTGCAAAGTGAGCGCTCGAGATTGAATAAACTTGGCTTATATCTAAATTCTTTCTCTCAAGTGATTAATTAAGCAATTCCTTTCTTTCCTATTGTAATTTACGCTCGACTCATAGAACACTTCGCGCTATGAGAAACTTGGGCTGAATTCCATTCTTTTATAAAAAGGACTTAAGCTCTGCTTATGCGACACTTCACACCATAAGAAACTAGGGTAAAGTTTATATTTCCTTAAACCCAATTCAAATAATCATAGATATTTCATTTATAATTTTACTTCAAACTTAATATTCATAAGCATTTTCAAAGTTAAAACGAATTCTCTCCCATTAAAGCAACAGACCACGAGAGTATGAACAATTAATAAATAATAGGCGATATTAACATCACATACTACCATGTGGAACCGATTATGACAACCCTCGGACAAATTATTAGCGCGGGCGATATCTTGTACAACCAAGTCATAATGGTTCCACAGTTGAGGTCGATATTTTGGGTCGCAATCCGAAACCTAGGTTGGATTGCGTTCGTCTTCGGGCACTGAATCGGCGTATGTACGTAGTCTTGAAAGTCCCGTTCTTTCTGTTGAATTAAGCAATTTTATAGCTGCTACTTCTTTGTGGTTTGGAGCATGATTATGCTCAGAAACGTCAGGCCCTCAAGCACAATTAAACTGTCTCCGTTGCCTGAAGTTTTAGTTTGCGCTCCAAGTATACCGGAATGTTTGTAATACGAATAACCAATTATATGTAAAAAAAGTGATCGCCTAGCACACAGTAATTCAGCCATATTACAAATTTTAAAGTCCCTTTGACAGCGACGTAATCAAATATTGTAAACAAAACGTAATCGAAGTAAAAACAATTACTGAAAAAGCATGTTCGATAACTGCATTTTTATCTTTCTTTTAAAAATTTATAAGTTTTTGGAAAAAAGATTCTTTAGGAAAATTTGATTTTGGGGAAAAAAATGTAGGTCATTAGGAAAACTGAATTGGGAAACTGTCCCCCTACCCATTTCAGTAAGTTTCAGTTATCGCATTTAATATTTACTACCCTTAAGCTATTTTTTTTCGACCGCATTGTCCTAAGTGCGCTCTCGCCTGCCACTGTTTTATCTTTGTTAAAGCTATGCACAATTGGTGGAGGCAACATGGAAAAAATACAACTTTTGATGTTTTATTAACTTATTTGTTAACCTTTTAAAAATAAAATAATAACCTAAAAGTGCTGTGATCAGAATATGGTAAATGCATGTAGTCAACTGGCCCTACAATTATGATTTGCTCTTATATATCCTGTGCCTGATCTTTATTCCATAGTAGGCAGCTAACAGGAGTTGTATATGTTACTCAATTTTGCAGTATCCTCTTTATCGTCTTACAGCAAGCGTTGATTTTCTGCCATACGTTCTGTAATTTTTAAACGTGTTTCTGTATTTGATCAAAGCTGAATTGGGAGATTGTTGATTGCAATGCTTTGGAACGTATCAGGTGTTCATGCTTTTGAGTAGCCCGCCGTGACCAAGTCGTTAGAACCATCACTCAATTTGACAAGAGCTTTCCCCATATAAGCTTAAAGCCACAATTATTTTCTCACGCGAGTTATCATTTGAGTCGTAAACGCTCCTTTCCCATTTCCTCTAAGTTAAATTTAAATATATATATATAATTCCATTTTAACTTACGCACCAAGATGTCTCTGAAACAATAGGAGAAAAAAAGAAAAACGTTTCAAATGAAAGTTAGTCGTCTTGAGGATCATTTTTTAGGTCAAAATCAATGTCACAATTATCAAAGACTCTCCAAGAGTATCAAGTGTATATAATGTTTTAAAATAATATGATATGATGTGTATGATGTTTTATGTAATGATATATTTCATCATTACCTGTATATGATGTTTTTAAATACTAAAACATTTACTTAAAAAAAATATTGTATTCTGTATTACATTATTTTATTTTGTATTTTATTTCTTGTAAATAAAATTTTACAAGTATAAGAATTGGTGAGCATAGCGAGTAGGGGGGCATAGCCCCACTAGTGTTTGTGTATATACAGGGTGTCAATTAAGTCCCGGGACGCCTGAATATTTTCTGAAGTACTTCAGTTCTGAAAAAGGTCAAGGTCATTCCTTTAGTAACTTTCAACGCGGAATCCGATGGTGACCTTGGATTTGACCTTGAGATTGACCTTCAAGGTTATTTCAAGGTCAACTTTGTTTTTTCAAATAGGAACCCCCATTTTTGACCCCGGATTCGGAAAGAGCGGGAAATTTTACGTCCAAAACGGTATTTTTAAATTTTTTTTCATGGCCTTGAGAAGGTCGATTTAAGGTCAAATGTTTGAAAAACTGCCTAAAAGCGTTTTTTTAATTTTTAAGATATCGAAAAATGACCTCTACAAAATTTGTTCAGAACAGAGTGGGTCACTCAATGCACCAAAAACCTTTGACCTTTAACCTCATTTTGAAGGTCATTTCAAGGTCGAAGTGTTTTTTGTAATGGAAACCCCTCTTTTTGACCCCGGATACGCACATAGCGCGAAATCCGACGTTTGGATAAGGTATTGTGTTGAGTTTCGCGCTATGTGCGAATCCGGGGTCAAAAAGAGGGGTTTCCATTACAAAAAACACTTCGACCTTGAAATGACCTTCAAAATGAGGTTAAAGGTCAAAGGTTTTTGGTGCATTGAGTGGCCCACTCTGTTCTGAACAAATTTTGTAGAGGTCATTTTTCGATATCTTAAAAATTAAAAAAACGCTTTTAGGCAGTTTTTTAAACATTTGACCTTAAATCGACCTTCTCAAGGCCATGAAAAAAAATTTAAAAATACCGTTTTGGACGTAAAATTTCCCGCTCTTTCCGAATCCGGGGTCAAAAATGGGGGTTCCTATTTGAAAAAACAAAGTTGACCTTGAAATAACCTTGAAGGTCAATCTCAAGGTCAAATCCAAGGTCACCATCGGATTCCGCGTTGAAAGTTACTAAAGGAATGACCTTGACCTTTTTCAGAACTGAAGTACTTCAGAAAATATTCAGGCGTCCCGGGACTTAATTGACACCCTGTATATAGGTAATATATAATGTATATATAATAGAGAGATTACGAACGTAGTTCTCAGTCGTTGTATAACAGTATTGATAAAATAAAGTTGGAAAAGTTTAAGTAGATTTATTGTAGGGCTTCGCTGATAAATATTCAAGATTTAGTCCTAATTTCTTTTATATTTTATTTTTAGAGCATGTTTATGAGTTCAATTGCGGCACACAGTATTACCGGACTCTCTATCTAGATAGCATGCGAGATGTTTTGTATGTTGGAGCCATGTAAGTTATATTTCTCTTTCATTAAAAATATATTTATGAAAAAATATTTTTTCAAGCTATCTTTCCCGGAAATCATTGCCAACTTAATAAACAGCTGCTCAAAATTTTAAAGCTTTGTATTGTCGTTTATGAAATGCAATCTACAGATTGCTTGATTTCAGAGATTTTTTGAAGGCCTTTTGTAAGATGTATTTAATTGTTTATTTGTTCAAGGGAAGTTGTGTATTCTGCGTGCAAAACATAGTTCGTTCTGCACTGCTCAATTAGTTGTAAGAAATCGCATGAAGTATAGTACTCCAAATATATGAGATCATGAACATACTGCATACTCAGTGCTCAGCTGGCTGAACCACAGTAATAAACATAACATTAATAGTCGTTGTTATACTATTAATTGTAACAGGATATGATGTTTGATGGGCTATGCCGTGTACGAGTTTGCGGGTATATCTTATAGCATGTATGTGGATAAGCACGAATTGCGTAAGCGTTGCCGTGTTGTCACACAATGATGTACGCTTTAGCGGCGCACTGTATGCTTTTTGATGCTTGCCCCCAAGGGCAATCCCAAAACGCTTTCTCTGCGTCGATCCTTACACCGTGACCTTACCTTGGGCGTGTGCCCTTGCCCTTGGGCGAAGTCCCCGTTGGTTGCTGCCGTTACTTTTATTAGGCACCTTCAGCCTCGCTCGAAAATATTGGGGAATTCCGCTAGCTGAAAATGGACGCGAGAGCACGAAGTCGTATAGCGGAAACGAACGTACTGATGCGGGAATAGACAATTCCAAAGGGCCAGTCAATAATTAACATAAATTGAATTTTATTATCATATCGGTACTGTTTATTGTTTTGCGGTTCATTTATAAATTTTAGGGCCTGCGCCACGATAACAATTGCTAACACGTTGCGGTTGCGGGCGCCGCCATCTTGTCCACTGCCGCGCACACGCTACGATCACTCGCCTACGCTAGATTCGCGATACGCGCGCGATCACCTTCATTTTCTTTGTGATCTCACGTGAGATCGACCGGCGATTTTATCTTTAACATGCGAATCTATTGCCCGAAGCTGACCAACTTACCTCGCGATAGCCGCTTCTAGCCGATTCATCGTTCAGGCTATTCCCCTTTTTCTTCGGGTTTACTGGAGAAGTCGGTCGTACGGAGTTGGGCGTCCGCCGAAGTTCTGTCTCTCTCTGTCTCTCAGGATACCCTCTTTTCTCAGCTGGTGTCCTGGTGAAAGGTCACGACACTACTTATCTTATCCGCAAAAGAATATCGTATTGGGCAAAAGAAAACGTCGTTGTTGCGGAGGAGTCTCTCGTCAACTGCCTTTTCTCTATCTCTCTCTCCTCGTGTACGCCCTCCATACCTGTCCAGTAGGTACTGCCCCTCGCGGGCAGTTACTCTGACGAGACAAGAGCGGGGATGTAACGTTCATCGCTATATAATTTATAAATATTCTATTATAATATACCGAGATTCTTGTAAGTTACGACGAATGTAGATTTTAAGATATTTCTTGTCTTAACCCATTAACGACCAAAATGCTCAATTTTTTTGTCGATTTTCAACGCGTTTTTTTCTGTAGTCATAGGCCTAAGAAATTTTTGCAAACACGTATTTGGATGGGAAATTTAACGCTCTTTCAGAATCTTTTTTCAAAATTGCGATTGATTGTGTTATAAAAAAGTTATAGCCAATTAAACAACAAAAACCTGAAAAATTTTGCGAAAAATTAAGTTTGCGATTTTTTTTAGCAATGTTACCGCTAAAAAATCATCAAACAAATATGATCAGAGGTGATCACAACTATCAAAGTATCTCCAGGAATTTTGGTAGAATTTTTGAACCACTTCTTCCAAAAAAAATAGTGGCAAAATAAAAAAAAATCCATAAAAAACATTTCTCATTTTTGATCTCGGAAATCATTAAGTTTAGATGAAAAGTTCATTGAACAAAAAAGTCGTAGAATTAAACGAGAAATACGCCTGAATTTTTTCAGAATTTTCCGAGGCGATTTTTGAATTTTCGGAGAATACGGAAAATCCATTTTTCCAAAATCATCTCCAAAAATTCTGAAAAAATACATGCGTGTTCCTTGATAAATTCTAAGACTTTTTGTTTCATAAACTACTTCTCCAAACTCAATAGTTTTCGAGATAAAAAACGTTCTACTCTTAGCATGACCCAGAGATAACGACGAGGACGTAGTAGAATTTTGTCACCTTTGGGGTGCTTGATTTGAGTGAATCCTCTTGCCTCTCACTTTTCGAGGTGCTTGATTTGAGTGAGTCCCCTTGCCTCTCACTGCAATACGAATTTTTCAGTGTTTTTTTTGAAACATTCAACACAAATCGATAAATCACATTTTTCACAGATAATTCTCGTTCTTACGGGACAATAAGAACAAAGTTTGAGTTTTGTTTGTTTGGACATATTGTGTTTCTCTTTTTTGCATTGTCTCTGCGTCATGTAATTTTTAGCTATTGAAAGTACAAAATCTTTTGTTCCTACCCTTTTTTTCTCATCATTGACAGCATTGAATAGTACAGTAGCATTTACAATCGAAGCTTGAATTAGTCCTAAAAAAACTACCCACGTCCACTTTTTTGAACTAATACTCGGAAGTAAATTGTTACAATGTCCGTCGTGGACATCATTGCCACCCATAAAACTGTTATAGACGCTAATAGCCCTCGGAAAAGGTATTTTCTTTTTTTCCTTCTTGCTTACTGTATCTCTTTGAAAAGGATAATGGAGTTACCCCTGCAGCAGTAGAAATAATCGAAATTGGTTTTGAATCCATCACAGTGATGTAATTTATACCACTGTTCTTATCGTGCTTCACGGCATACTCACCTCTTTGAGCTTTTTTATTTAAAACATTTTTATCTTTGACTCTATCTTCTCTAATAGTACCTGTACATTTTAGCCCATGCTTCTTCAAATGCACAGCGAGATCTAAGCTTGTGAAATAATTATCAAAATAAAGATGGAACATAGATATTTTGCCCGGAGGTATAACACGAAAAAACTTTTCTAGTAAATTCATGACAACGCGAGATCCTAATGCACACTTACTAAATTTACTTCGCGTTATAGAATTTTTTCCGCAGTATAAGTCAAGATCTAATACAAAATCATCGGAAGTACAAAGACCCCAGAATTGAGACCAAATCGTATGGGTTTTTCTCGAATGAATTGTTTTAGAACCGTCCTCGCATAAGACTTAGCCATCATTTCATCGATGGAAGGAGCAGTTCTCCACACACCGAACTTCATAATATTAATTTCAAATAGGTTTAATAGTGAACGAACACGCCAAGCTTAGTCAGTTGGATTTTTATCTTTCGTTTGTGAATATTTTAATTTTGATTTGATCTCTTCAAATTTATTACGTGACATAGCAGAAGAAACAACGTTACAAGATAAAAAGGGATCACGTGACCGTCAAAATGATTATTCCCACGAATGTATTTAAGTCTTTTAACTTTAAATCAAAATTATTTTCTTTGCAAGCATCTATAATATATTGCTTCATTTCAGTTGAGAAAAATGTTTCAAACAGTTCTACTGGCTCCATTTCTTGTATTTTATTTTTTACCGAGTCTTTCAATAAAATTTTGTTTTTAAAATTATCATTATACTTTTTTTTTCCTTCCATCCACTGGAGTTCATGCGTTCTTTCTAATTTAGTTTGAGTTTCAGCATACGAGGTGTGTTTAAAAAGTAAGGTGACTTTGTATTTTTAAGAAAAAATATTTATTTATTTATCAATATTTATGTTGTCCCCTTCAAAGTAATCCCCTTCAGATATAATACACTTATGCCAACGGTTTTTCCAATCCTCAAAGCACTTCTCATAAGCACTGTTCGGTATAGCCTTGAGCTCTTCCAGCGATGCTGTTTTTATCTTTTCAATAGTTGCAAATCTCCGTCCTTTCATAGGTCTCTTTAGTTTTGGGAACAAGAAAAAGTCACATGGGGCCAAATCCGGTGAATATGGTGGCTGAGGCATGATTGTGGTGTTGTTTTTGGCCAAAAAATCTCTCACAAGCAAAGATGAGCGAGCAGTGGCATTATCGCGATGCAAAAGCCATGAATTGTTTTTCCAAAATTCTGGGCGTTTTCTTCGTATTGGTTCTCGCAAACGGCGCATAACTTCAAGATAATACTGTTTATTGACCGTACGTCCATATGGTAAGAACTCCTGATGCACCACGCCATGGTAATCGAAGAAAACAGTGAGCAAAACTCTGACATTTGATCGAACTTGGCGTGCTTTTTTCGGTCTTGGCTCATCTGGGCTCTTCCATTGGAACGATTGGACTTTGGTTTCGATATCATAACCATATACCCATGATTCGTCACCAGTTATGACCCTTCTGAGTAAATCTGGGTCGTCGTTGACGTCATTCAACAGTTCTTGAGCGATGCTCATGCGACGGTTCTTTTGGTCAAAATTTAGCAATTTCGGAACAAACTTCGCTGACACACGTCTCATGCCCAAAACGTTAGAAAAAATTTCATGGCACGAGCCAAGCGATATACCAACATCCTCAGCAACTTCTCTGATAGTGATTCGACGATTTTCCAGAACAATTTTCTTCACTGCTTGAACGTTTTCATCAGTTGTTGACGTGCTTGGGCGTCCAGAGCGAGGCTCGTCATTGGCATCGTCCCGGCTATCTTGGAAGAGTTTGTACCACTTGTAAACATTTTTTTTTACTCAGAACAGTTTCACCTTATGCCATCGTCAACATTTCAAATGTTTCAGAGCACTTTATTTTTTTTTTTACACAAAATTTGATGCAAATCCTTTGATCCATATTTTTCGATAACAAGAAATCGCCGAGCACGCAAAACACTTATAACCTTTACGCCGTTATATATATATATATATATATATATTATATATAACGCCGTTATATACGTTATATATATTATTTTATTTCAACTTTCGTTACATTTTTCTTTACATTTCCTACTTCACAATTT